GGAGAAAAAGAACTGAAGGAAGGAGAGGGTAGAGGGAAGGAAAGAAAAGAAAGGAAGAAAGGAAAGGGCGCGAAGGAAGGAGAGAGGGAGGGAAGGAGGGAGAGAATAGCAATATTTATATACCACTTCACGCTGCTTTTACAGCCCTAAGCGGTTTACAGAGTCAGCCTATTTGCCCCCCATCAATCTGGCTCATTTTACCGACCTCGGAAGGACGGAAAGCTGAGTCAACCTGGAGTCGGTCAGGATCGAACTCCTGGCAGTGGGCAGAGTCAGCCTGCAATGCGGCATTCGGACCGCTGCGCCACCAGGGCTCAATGTTGAATTATTTCGGGCTGCTTAAATCATTTAAATCAGGGGTAGTCAACCTTGGCTCTTTTATGACTCGTGGACTTCAACTCCCAGAATTCCTGAGCCAGCTTAGCTGGCTCAGGAATTCTGCGAATTGAAGTCCACGAGTCATAAAAGAGCCAAGGTTGACTACCCCTGATTTAAATTATTACCTCTATTATTGAATGAATGAATGAATGAACGAACGAATGAATCTACACCAAGAAAATAAATATTTTGTATGCCGCTTTGTTGCTGCATTTATCACCAGGTTCAAAACTTTGGCGTCCCCACTTTCGGCTACACTTGCACACCCACAACTGAAAGCTGTGCGCAGTTTTCAGGAGTCAGACCCAACCTGTAAATAGGTCACCGATTCACACAGTCGTCCCTGTGCACATTCAGCCAGATTAACCGTTGCCTGCCGGGGTTGTGGCGTTTCCAACTTGCTGAGGATTGGCAGAACCTACAGGAGGTTCCTGGCGCAACCACGACAACCTGGGGGATTCTGGGAAGTGTGCCTGCACGAAGACAAATTTGCCATTCTTCCCATCGAGTGGCTCTTTGTCCTAGGAGTCCAGGTAATCCTTGGCGTACGACCACAATGGAGCCCAACGTTTTTGTTGCTAAGCAAGACGTTTGTTAAGCGAGATTTGCCCCATTTTTACGACCTTTCTTGCCGCCATTGTTAAGTGAACCCACTGCAGTTGTTAAGTGAGGAACACAGTTGCTAAGTGAACCCAGCTTTCCCATCAACTTTGCTTGTCGGAAGGTCGCCAAAGGGGATCACGTAACCCCGGGACACTTCAACCGTCATAACTATGAGTCAGCTGCCAAGCGTCCGAATTTTGATCCGGTGACCATAGGGGGGGGAGAGAATGCTGCAATGGTCGTAAGTCTGAAAAACGGTTGTAAGTCGCTTTTTTCAGTGCCGTTGTAACTTTGAACGGTCGCTAAATGAATTGTTGCACGTTGTAACCTGAGCAACTTGCAGATGTCCACCCATCTTCAAGTTGGTCAGGTTGTAAAACACCGTCCTAGAGCAGGGCTCTTCAACCACTGGTACGGATACCACCTGTGGTACATTGGCACCTGGTAGGTGGTACGCGACCATCCTAGGAAAGTGATAGCAGGGGAGAGGAATGAGCTGAACCGGTGGCAGCACCGCACAAGCCTGAGCGAGAGACGGCTGGAGCTGCAGGGCTGTCAGGGCTCAGCGGAAGCGCCAGGATCAGTGCCGCTTTCCAGCTGATCGGCGCTTCTTCGGGGCTGTCAGGGCTCTGGAAGTGCCAGGATCAGTGCCAGGATCCTGCTGGAGCTCAGTGCTGATCCTGGTGCTTCTGCTGAGCCCAGAAGAAGCGCCGATCAGCTGGAATGTTGCAGCCTCTCCAGGGTCTTGTGATTTCCATTCAGAGGCTTGGCAACGGACTCATATTTATGACGGTCACAGTGTCCCAGGGTCATGTGAAGTGACCAAAACCTGCTGCAACCACCCAGCAGACGGGGGGAATAAAAACCAAACACCCCCCACCCCACCCCCGCTGCCAATCCTCAGCAGAAATGCTCACAACAATGAAAACCTCGGACAGGAGGAAGAGCGCTGCCGGGCAGGCAGGCAGGTATCTTGCTCGGCTGTGGCTTGGGGGGCACTTTTTTCAGTGCCATTGTAACTTCAAACAGTCACTAAGCAAACTGTTGTAAGTCGAGGACTACCTGTACTTTATCACTTTTTTCCTTTTTTGGGGGGGGGTCATCAAGTTTTTGACCCCTTGCTAGGCGACTGGTGGTACTCGGATGTTGCCATATCCTAAAAGTGGTACAATGGGTGAAAAGGTTGCAAAACACCGTCCTAGAGGATCCCTCCTCCAGTGGCGCCCCACGTGGGCCCAGGAGAAGACGGCACTTACAGTAGCTGCGTGCAACGACAGGCAAAGAGAGATTCAAAGACAATGACGGATGCTCACGATTGGCCACAGTGTCAATTTATTTAGCAAGAGTAGGAGAGGACGCCAGACGAACCCCCCCCTTTCTCTCGCGAGGCGCAAAATTGACGCGTATAGACTTGGATCACAGTGGCACCTCGGCAGGTTTTTTCCCTCGGTGAGTGGAGTCAGTTAAGGCAGAGAGAAAGAGCAAGAGGGAGGATGGGGGTGGGGGGTGGGGGAAGGAGAGCTGGCCGGGGGTTCCTGCAAAGAGAAGGACCAGGCCGACTGCCGAGGACCTTCTCTGTCTTTGCTGGACACCGGCCCGTCTTTGGCGAAGACCCGTAAACACGAGACGGAATCAAGAGGCACAACGTCATCTGTAAGGACCGGGAGTTCTCACAGGGCATCACTCGGAAAGCCTTGGCACTCTCGGCAGAGTCGGGGTTGAGGGGCACAGGACCTGCCCGTCGGCTGGAGGCTAGATCTCCTGCAAGGACGGGCCGGGGTCGCTGTGCTCGCGCTTCACCTGGGGCTTGCAGGCTCCGGCCTCGTGCCCTAGGGCACCGAAGGTGTCTGCGGGAACGAGAAAGATGGGCCCAGCCTTAATCTAGGGGAGTGGGGGAAGAAAGCCCCCCAACGGGCCGGGAAGAGGCCTCCCCATGGAGGAGGGCCAGAGGATCCGTACCTTTCTCGAGCATAGCCGGAGACAGGGAGGCGAGGTCGCTGAACTGGAAAAGAGAAGACGGGGGTTCAATGGGGCTCCCAAGGCCCATCGCAAGTCCCTCACTTGACGCACCCACAGCTGACCCATCACAAAACCTAACTGACCACACAAAGAACACCGACACAGACACCCCCTAAACGCCGCTGAAGACGTAGCCTAGCCTGGTAACGAAACGTTCGGAAACCGACCCACCAGCTCGGAGAACGACCCTCCACCCTCATCCGACACCCGAGCGACAGATATCGGCCACTCTAGCAAATTCAGATTCCTGTCTCGGTGCAAAGCCAGCACTGGGAGGGGGCTGGGGGGGTCTTCCTGAACTGAGCAGGCCTCTCCCAGAAGGAGAGAAGGTCTTTCCACTCCCTCTGGGCAGGTAGTTTTAAACAGGGAGAATCGCCCAGTTGGCTGGCCGTCCACCTTGCTTTTGTCCACATGCGTTTCTCTGAGTTTCTGACAGCCTTTGGGATGGAGGGGGGGGCGCGCTTCCCCTGCCCCAAAAGGCCTCCCCAGCCACGATTACTGTCCTGCAAGAGACTCTGCCAACCCACCTACCCAGAAGCAGGAAGGAGAACGCGGCTCCCCGCTTGCCTTCAGCCGTTGTGGCTGCGCCATCGCTGGAGGTTTTTAAGGAAAGACCAGACAGCCATTTGTCCAGAATGGTATAAAGTCTCCTGCTGGAGCAGGGGGTTGGACTAGAAGACCTCCGAGGTCCCCTCCAGCTCTGGTACTCCGTTATTCACCCAGCCACCAGGGGGATTCTGGTGGCTCCCTGCACGGCTGCTGGCCAAGCCGTGCCCAGCGCTCACCTCTCCCATCACGGCGATGGGCGTCTCCCCCGTGGCTTCGGCCACCCGGTGCTCCACCAGGTAGAACATGTACTCATCGTAGAGGAGTCGGATCAGGTGGAAGGAGCCAAAACTGGCGGCGCTGCGCAAGGTGAGGTCGCGGATCACCATGGAACTGAGGGGGGAAGAAAGGGGGGGGGTNCCAGGGTGGGTGAGGGGGGAGGAGGAAGAGGAGGAGGAGGAGGAGGAGGAGGAGGAGAACTGTGGGGTCCTTGGTGCTCTCTGTGCTTGGTGGTTCTCTTGCAGATGTTTCATTACACAACTATAACTAGGTAATAGCATCAGTGCTAGAAGGGAGGGGGGTTTGGGTAGAGGAGGAGGAGGAGGAGGAGGAGGAGGAGAACGAGAACCGTGGGGTCCTTGGTGCTCTCTGAGCTTGGCTGTTTTCTTGCCGATATTTCATTATACAACTAGGTAACATCACTACAACTAATGCATTATCATTATTTGTGTGTGGGCGTGTGCGTTTGTGTGTGCGCGCGTTTATACACATGGGGGTGGGCAGGGGTTCCAACTGAATGGCACAACGACAGGCTCTTCCAAGTGAGAGAATCCTTTCCAAGTAGAAAGCCAGCAGGTCAGACTGCAGAACCGGTCAGTTTCTCCGCCCCTCGGGCCCATGTCTCTCCGCAGGGGCGCAGGGGCCCTCCGGTCCCTGGGGGAGGAGGGGCTGGCGTGCGGTGGGGTGGGCGAGGCAGGAGGCTTACCTGTAGAAGGACCACTTCAGCAGAAACTGCCGGGCCGCCCGGGGGAAGCTGGCCGCGCCCTCGTGCGGCTTCAGCACCTGGGTGACCACCTCGTCCAGCCATCGGGCCCACTGGTCCAGGGAGCTTTGCTGCTGCAGCGTCACCTTGAAATCCTGCTCCAGTTTCTGCACCAGGCCCTCCTCGCACTGGCAGACCCAGGAGGCTTGCTCCTGCCATGGGGGGGGGGAGAGGGGGGAGGGAGAGACCCAGAGAAGGTTGGAAGCTCAAGAGGAGACTCGTGGCTCAGGGCCGAAGGGAGCCCTGAACGTGGTGCCCTCTGAGCTCGGTGCGTCTCCTGCAGGCGTTTCATAACCCAACTAAGTAATGTCATCAGTGCTGGAAGGGAGGGGAGGTGGAGGAAGCAGAGGAGGAGGAGGAGGAGGAGGAAGGAGAGAGGAGGAGGAGGAGGAGGAGGAGGAGGAGGAAGGAG